ATGTAAATGCAGCTTAGAACTCATTCCTCCACACATTCACATCTCTCTATAACAAACACTGCTCCATCAAAACATGCAAGAAAAGAGTCTACACAGAAACTGACAAAAGGGCTTGTAAATGCAAAAAGAAACATCTTCTAAAAAGGCTATTTTTAATGAAAGAACAAGAGAAACTGAAGTAAGACACAAGAGATATACAAATAAATTAAGCAGCATTTTAAGGCTAAGCCGAGAAGATTACTACACAAATGTACTAATCACTAAGAAAAATGATATTAAAGCGATTTGGAATAAAATATGATTGCAGATGGATTTAACAGTTTCTTTGTGAATGTAGGAGCTGAACTTACAAAAAGAATCCCAAACAGTGAACCAGTGAGAGGACTGATGGAGGTAAATCCTAGATCAATGTTCCTCACTCCCACCAATGAGGAGGAAGTCCTCGGCATTATCACTTCATATAAAAACAAACGTTCACAAGATCTAGACAACATTGATATGAAACTTGCACGAATACAGCAAAGGAGATCATTAAACCACTCACACACATCTGCAATCTATCTTTTACACTCGGACACTTTCCCTCCCAAATGAAACATGCTAAAGTCATCCCAATATTCTAATCTGGAACAAACACAGCTTCAATAATTATCGGCCCGTCTCCTTCTGCCACAGTTTTCAAAGATATTAGAAACATTATTTGACAATAGACTTCACAACTTTATCGACATCTTTAGTTTACGATGTGATGCCAATATGGCTTTAGCAAAAATAGATCCACGTCACTGGCTTTAATTGACCTTGCTGAAGAAATAACTAACGTATAGAAACAAATGAATTAGTGATAGGAATATTTATGGCTCTACAAAAAGCCTTTGACACAATTGACCGTCATATATTAATGATCAAAATGGAAGATTCTGGCAAAAGGGAACAGCACTGCAGTGGTTACAGAGTTACCTGAATGGGAGGAAACAACTCGTTCACTTTGATCATCATGGCTCAATCTTAAAGGATAGAACTTGTGGGGTGCCACAAGGATCAATCTTAGGACCCGCCTTATTCCTCATGAACATCAATGAATTATACAAAATATCAGCGTTCATGAAACGCATCCTCTTTGCCGACGACACCACCATCACATGTGCAGGCCATGGTTTGGAGCTACTTTTGTCCCTCGTATCAGTGCAGATGAACAAAGTTATGCTTTTTGGAAACCGTAAAAGCATTATACCATTTAGAATAGTTATTGCTCAAACACCAACTGAACATGTTAAAGAAAATGTATTTTTAGGAGTCATGAGGGGGATGGAAACATACGAGTGTTTGCTTCAGCTCTTTCCAAACCTTGTTTATTGATTGGATTATTCTGTGTCAGATGTTAATGGTGGTTTTTGGAATAAACAGATAAATAATGAGGTTCAGTACTTCCTCCTCATCTGTGCGACTGACCAACATCCAACTACACTTTATTTACATTCATCCAGTGACTCGTTGTTGTTTGCTGTTTTTTTGGCCAATTCAGGTCCGATACTTCCAAAGAAATGATTAAACCCATCTGCAATCGCCTTTTTAACCCTTATCATTTTACCATTCACTGCACAGTATCCATGGCAACACAGGCTTTTAGAGCCACGACCAATCACTGTGTTTCATATGTTCCAAACTCCTTTAATATCATTGATCTTTTTCATTCATCATTTGGTGTAATATTCTTACATACTTTCTCTCAAAATACTGGTTCATTTGTTTTTGTATTTTTTATATCACAATTATCTTGTTCTAAGCCTAAAGAATTCTCTATATAAATATGTTTTCTTTTTGCAGGCATTTGAAAGCCCTTTAGTTAACCAAGGAGTTATTGTGGAGTCCTTTATCCTAAATGTTTTAACGGGACATTTTTTGTCATAGAGAGTTTTAAAAAGGAGTTGTAAGCTGTATTTACATCTGACATTTGGCAAACATGTTCCCAGTTCTGTGTTGCCAAATCCATGTTCAGGGCGTTTATGGATTTATCTGTTGTTACTCTACAATGGCACTCACGGTTTACAGGTTTGGTTATAGTTTAGATCATATATCATGAAAACTGGCAGATGTCACTGGCATCATTTACCAGCAGACCACCCGCTATGTTTTTGTCTAAAATATGACAGAACATGTTATTATCAGAGCTATCAGAGTGGCACTGGTGCTGTTGGTCTGGTTTTAAGTGGATAGAGACCCATGGAAAACATACTGTCTATAAATTCATCTGTCAGTTTATTATTATTAGGATTTAATAAGTTCATATTGTAGTCTCCACAGATTATAAGATCTTTGTTTTTATTACTAAATATTTTCTCCATCCATTTTCTGAATTACATTACATTACTAAAATACAATTGTCATTTCTATTGTTACACAGTGAAAAAGTTCGTTGACGGTGAAAGAGTGTGATCAACAATATGACACATGATGTTATTATCAACATATAAAGCCACTCCCCTCCTCTCTGATGTTGTCTGTTAGTACAGAACATTTCATACTCATTACAAACTCACTGTCTTCTCATTTATCCATGTTTCTGAAACTGCTCTTTTATTGAAAAGACATTTACATTGTTTCAGATATTGTTGGATTCATTCAAATGTGAGAATAAACTTCTACTATTGAAATGCACCAAAGAAATGTTTTTTCTCTTTGTAAATTCTTTGTCAAACATGATATCAGTAAAATACAAACAACCACTCTTGGTATTTGGAAAAACGTTTCTATCTGGATCAGTTTCATCCATGTTCCTTTGTGTTTTTATCATTGAAATAGTCGGAGAAATTGATTCTTGGCTCCAAGTTGTGAGAGTTTAGGCTCAAATAGTTTTCCTCAGTTTCAGAGGAGCTGTCACTATTAGAAGTGTAGATCTTATATGATTTGAGGAACATGCTTAAAGGAGGAGAGTGAATGGTCAAAGAATAGGCCCCATACATACCAGACAGACACGCACACAGCAACAAGAACATCCAAGACATGAACAGGCCACACCCTCTCAAACGCCTTTTCCCTGTCACCCGCTATGAAGGAAAGTAGAAACAGTGGAACTAGAAGATCACATTAAACTGATGTTACTGGACGGAAGGACAAATAAAACAATAAACCTTTAAGAGTCAAGAATAAACAATAAAATAATCTCATATACTCTGCAAGTATTCATTTGTTAATTATGAAGCAGCAGCATTTTGCTCAGTTTATAAGACAGTAACTCAAACCAATGTGCAAACCCTGTCCACCAGGTGGCAGTATACTTAAATAAGCCACAGTTAAAATACATGTCTTTACTCATCTTTTGGTGAATCGTTGTCACTTTTCTCCATCCCACGTATGAAGTGAGCGACTTGAGCTGGCGTTTCCAACAGATGCGTGCGACCACCACAGGTCACTGGGAGACGGGCTGGATATATGATTCTGTATCCAACATTTTTAGCTCGGAGGATCTTCTTGACCTCGCTGTAATCCTGCTGCAATCTATGGACTTCAGGCGACACGTCCGGGAAGAACATCACCTGCCTGGATTTATAGAGGGCTTTCCCTTCTTCCTGGCAGCGATTTGGACCAGCGTTTTATCTTGGAAGTTTAAACACTTCATGATGACGGGACGTGGAGGCCTCTCCTTGTCGATGAAGCTGACAGAGCTGGGAAGCCGATGGCAGCGCTCCATGATAAGTGGGGTTCGTCGCGGTCCCAGCTCCAGAACCTCGGCCAGGCACCTTTCCATGAATCCACACGGATCCGCTCCCTCTGCTCCCTCGGGAAGACCTTTCAGCCTCAAGTTGGATCTCCGGTCCTGTTTTCTTGATGGTCCACTTTAGAGGTGACGTCTTTATTTGGCTTTGGAGTTTGTTAGCCGTAGTTTTGAGGGTTCCTACTGTGTTTTCATGATGAGAGATTCGTTGCTTGCGTCAGCCTCTTAAAGCTCTCATCTAGATGGGTTCTTATCCCTTGGACCACTGACAGGACATGATCAGTTTTAGCTGTAAAATCAGTCCTCAGACCCACTTTGTCCAACTTTAAATCCGTGATTGCTTTTAGAATTTGGTTGGAGCCCGGTTGTGACTCTTGAAACTCCTGGTCTCTTGATGCCGTGGCGGTCGCTTCATGGTTTGCTTCAATCCCTTTTTCCTCCCTTTGGTGTTTGACGTTGTACACTTCCCCCAACTTCGTGAGATTTGTAGTTTTCAGATGTTTTCAGCGTCGTTTTTACAGAGATTTTTACAGTTCACAGTGAGGGGACAGGGGGGCGTGGCCTCTCTGTTATTACAGGAAGTGAGACTTTTACTGATGGACCAGAGAGAGACCAGAGAGAGACAAGAAAGAGAGACCAGAGAGAGACCAGAGAAAGACCAGAGAGAGACCAGAGAGAGACCAGAGAGAGAGACCAGAGAGAGAGACCAGAGAGAGACCAGAGAGACCAGAGAGAGACCAGAAATTCATTCCTGGTTCTCTTCCAACTTTCTCAAACTCAACAGCTCTAAAACTGAAGTCCTTCTCGTGGGCACCCCCTCCACTCTCTCCAAATCTAACAGCTTCTCTGTCTCCATCCATAACACATCTGTCCTCCCCTCCCCTCTCCATCCATAACACATCTGTCCTCCCCTCCCCTCTCCATCCATAACACATCTGTCCTCCCCTCCCCTCTCCATCCATAACACATCTGTCCTCCCCTCCCTCTCCATCCATAACACATCTGTCCTCACCTCTCCATCCATAACACATCTGTCCTCCCCTCCCCTCTCCATCCATAACACATCTGTCCTCCCCTCCCCTCCCCTCCCCTCCCCATCCATAACACATCTGTCCTCCCCTCTCCTCAGGTCAAGAGTCTGGGTGTCATCCTCGACAGTTCACTCTCCTTCCAATCTCACATCAATAATATCACTCGGTCCGCCTACTTCCACCTGCGCAATATCTCTCGTCTCCGCCCCTCTCTCACCCCCCACACCACCTCCATCCTCGTCTCCGCCCCTCTCTCACCCCCCACACCACCCTCGTCTCCGCCCCTCTCTCACCCCCCACACCACCCTCGTCTCCGCCCCTCTCTCACCCCCCACACCACCCTCGTCTCGCCCCTCTCTCACCCCCACACCACCCTCGTCTCCGCCCCTCTCTCACCCCCCACACCATCCTCGTCTCCGCCCCTCTCTCACCCCCCACACCACCCTCGTCTCCGCCCCTCTCTCACCCCCCACACCACCCTCGTCTCCGCCCCTCTCTCACCCCCCCACACCACCCTCGTCTCCGCCCCTCTCTCACCCCCCCACACCACCCTCGTCTCCGCCCCTCTCTCACCCCCCACACCACCCTCGTCTCCGCCCCTCTCTCCACCCCCCACACCACCCTCGTCTCCGCCCCTCTCTCACCCCCCACACCACCCTCGTCTCCGCCCTCTCTCACCCCCCACACCACCGCCATCCTCGTCCACAGCCTCGTCACCTCTAGGATTGACGACTGCAACTCACTTCTCTTCGGCCTCCCCAACAAATCCCTCCAGAAACTGCAGCTCCTCAAAACTCTGCAGCTGCATCATCCCCCGGACCCCACAGCTGACCACATCACCCCCGTACTCCGACAACTCCACTGGCTTCCTGTTAAACAACTGATTCACTTCAAAAGACTCCTCACCACTTTCAGAGCACTTCACAACTGCTCCTCCTCCACTTATCTGACCTCCTCCACCCTGCCACTCCTGCTCCACCTCCACCCTGCCACTCCTGCTCCTCCTCCACCCTGCCACTCCTGCTCCTCCTCCACCCTGCCACTGCCTGCTCCTCCTCCACCCTGCCACTCCTGCTCCTCCTCCACCTGCCACTCCTGCTCCTCCTCCACCCTGCCACTCCTGCTCCTCCTCCACCCTGCCACTCCTGCTCCTCCTCCACCCCACCCTGCCCTCTCCTGCCTCCTCCTCTCCACCCTGCCACTCCTGCTCCTCCTCCACCCTGCCACTCCTGCTCCTCCTCCACCCTGCCACTCCTGCACTCCTCCTCCACCCTGCCACTCCTGCTCCTCCTCCACCCTGCCACTCCTGCTCCTCCTCCACCCTGCCACTCCTGCTCCTCCTCCACCCTGCCACTCCTGCTCCTCCTCCACCCTGCCACTCCTGCTCCTCCTCCACCCTGCCACTCTGCTCCTCCTCCACCCTGCCACTCCTGCTCCTCCTCCACCCTGCCACTCCTGCTCCTCCTCCACCCTGCCACTCCTGCTCCTCCTCCACCCTGCCACTCCTGCTCCTCCACCTGCCACTGCTCCTCCTCCACCCTGCCACTCCTGCTCCTCCTCCACCCTGCCACTCCTGCTCCTCCTCCACCCTGCCACTCCTGCTCCTCCTCCACCCTGCCACTCCTGCTCCTCCTCCACCCTGCCACTCCTGCTCCTCCTCCACCCTGCCACTCCTGCTCCTCCTCCACCCTGCCACTCCTCTCCTCCTCCACCCTGCCACTCCTGCTCCTCCTCCACCCTGCCACTCCTGCTCCTCCTCCACCCTGCCACTCCTGCCCGCACACTCCGCTCCTCCTCCACCCTCACACTCTCCGTCCCCCCAGCCAGACTCATCCCTGTGGGACACAGAGCCTTCAGCCACACTGACCTCCGTACCATTGACTCTCTTCCACTCTTCAAATCCAGACTCAAAACCCATCTGTTCAGACTGTCCTACCCCATCCCATAATGCACTTGACTACTGTTTTATTCTGTTGCTCCTGTTTTTAATGTTTTTATTTTGCCTGTACAGTGTCCTTGGGTGTCTAGAAAGGGGCGTTTAAATAAAATGTATTATTATTATTATTGTCACCAGAGAGAGACCAGAGAGAGAGACCAAAGAGAGAAATCTGAGAGAGACCAGAGAGAGATCAGAGAGAGACCAGAGAGAGACCAGAGAGAGACCAGAGAGAGACCAGAGAGAGACCAGAGAGAGACCAGAGAGACCAGAGAGAGACCAGAGAGAAAGACCAGAGAGAGAAACCAGAAAGGGACCCGAGAGAGAGATCATAGAGGGACCAGAGAGGGACTAAAGAGAAGCAAGAGACCAGAGACCAACCAGAGAGAGACCAGAGAGACTAGAGGGAGACCAGAGAGACCATAGAGAGACTCCAGATATAAAAACTAGAAAGAGAACAGAAAGAGAGGGACCAGAGAGAGACCAGGAAGACTCCAGATTTAGAAACCAGAGAGAGACTGTAGAGAAATCTGCCAAACCAGTTGAGTCGGTTGTGACGACTTCCTCCTTGGTCTTGTGTGTTTCAGAGCAACACGACAGAGACTTCTTCAGGAACAATAAGGATCAGTCTGTCTGTGTTAGTGACCAGAAAGTAAGTACCATGTGTCTGTGTTAGTGACCAGAAAGTAAGTACCATGTGTCTGTGTTAGTGACCAGAAAGTAAGTACCATGTGTCTGTGTTAGTGACCAGAAAGTAAGTACCATGTGTCTGTGTTAGTGACCAGAAAGTAAGTACCATGTGTCTGTGTTAGTGACCAGAAAGTAAGTACCATGTGTCTGTGTTAGTGACCAGAAAGTAAGTACCATGTGTCTGTGTTAGTGACCAGATAGTAAGTACCATGTGTCTGTGTTAGTGACCAGAAAGTAAGTACCATGTGTCTGTGTTAGTGACCAGAAAGTAAGTACCATGTGTCTGTGTTAGTGACCAGAAAGTAAGTACCATGTGTCTGTGTTAGTGACCAGAAAGTAAGTACCATGTGTCTGTGACCAGAAAGTAAGTACCATGTGTCTGTGTTAGTGACCAGAAAGTAAGTACCATGTGTCTGTGACCAGAAAGTAAGTACCATGTGTCTGTGTTAGTGACCAGAAAGTAAGTACCATGTGTCTGTGTTAGTGACCAGAAAGTAAGTACCATGTGTTTGTGTTAGTGACCAGAAAGTAAGTACCATGTGTCTGTGTTAGTGACCAGAAAGTAAGTACCATGTGTCTGTGTTAGTGACCAGAACGTAAGTACCATGTGTCTTTGTTTGTGACCAGAAAGTAAGTACCATGTGTCTGTGTTAGTGACCAGAAAGTAAGTACCATGTGTCTGTGTTAGTGACCAGAAAGTAAGTACCATGTGTCTGTGTTAGTGACCAGAAAGTGAGTACCATGTGTCTGTGTTAGTGACCAGAAAGTAAGTACCATGTGTCTGTGTTAGTTACCAGAAAGTAAGTACCATGTGTCTGTGACCAGAAAGTAAGTACCATGTGTCTGTGTTAGTGACCAGAAAAAGTAAGTACCGAAAGTAGTACATGTGTCTGTGTTAGTGACCAGAAAGTAAGTACCATGTGTCTGTGTTAGTGACCAGAAAGTAAGTACCATGTGTCTGTGTTAGTGACCAGAAAGTAAGTACCATGTGTCTGTGTTAGTGACCAGAAAGTAAGTACCATGTGTCTGTGTTAGTGACCAGAAAGTAAGTACCATGTGTCTGTGACCAGAAAGTAAGTACCATGTGTCTGTGTTAGTGACCAGAAAGTAAGTACCATGTGTCTGTGTTAGTGACCAGAAAGTAAGTACCATGTGTTTGTGTTAGTGACCAGAAAGTAAGTACCATGTGTCTGTGTTAGTGACCAGAAAGTAAGTACCATGTGTCTGTGTTAGTGACCAGAAAGTAAGTACCATGTGTCTGTTTTAGTGACCAGAAAGTAAGTACCATGTGTTTGTGTTAGTGACCAGAAAGTAAGTACCATGTGTCTGTGTTAGTGACCAGAAAGTAAGTACCATGTGTCTGTGTTAGTGACCAGAACGTAAGTACCATGTGTCTTTGTTTGTGACCAGAAAGTAAGTACCATGTGTCTGTGTTAGTGACCAGAAAGTAAGTACCATGTGTCTGTGTTAGTGACCAGAAAGTAAGTACCATGTGTCTGTGACCAGAAAGTAAGTACCATGTGTCTGTGTTAGTGACCAGAAAGTAAGTACCATGTGTCTATGTTAGTGACCAGAAAGTAAGTACCATGTGTCTGTGACCAGAAAGTAAGTACCATGTGTCTGTGTTAGTGACCAGAAAGTAATACCATGTGTCTGTGTTAGTGACCAGAAAGTAAGTACCATGTGTCTGTGTTAGTGACCAGAAAGTAAGTACCATGTGTTTGTGTTAGTGACCAGAAAGTAAGTACCATGTGTCTGTGTTAGTGACCAGAAAGTAAGTACCATGTGTCTGTGTTAGTGACCAGAACGTAAGTACCATGTGTCTTTGTTTGTGACCAGAAAGTAAGTACCATGTGTCTGTGTTAGTGACCAGAAAGTAAGTACCATGTGTCTGTGTTAGTGACCAGAAAGTAAGTACCATGTGTCTGTGTTAGTGACCAGAAAATAAGTACCATGTGTCTGTGACCAGAAAGTAAGTACCATGTGTCTGTGTTAGTGACCAGAAAGTAAGTACCATGTGTCTGTGTTAGTGACCAGAAAGTAAGTACCATGTGTTTGTGACCAGAAAGTAAGTACCATGTGTCTGTGTTAGTGACCAGAACGTAAGTACCATGTGTCTTTGTTTGTGACCAGAAAGTAAGTACCATGTGTCTGTGTTAGTGACCAGACCCTAAGTACCATGTGTCTGTGTTAGTGACCAGAAAGTAAGTACCATGTGTGACGTGTTGATGTGTCCGTGATGGTTACCAGAAAGTATGTACCATGTGGGAGCGGCGCTCATTGGTGCGTCACAGACAGAGCTGCACCTTTAAAGCTCGTGCACATGCCAGACATTCTTGTTGCTCATCCTGCTCCCATCCTGCCACCTGCCCCGCCTCCTTAGGTTTGGTTTGCTCTGGTTTGGTTTGGTTAGCTTTGGTTTGGTTTAGTTTGTGGTATATTTTCTACACACCATTCACCACTGCAGACTCTCACAGCACATACACCGCACACACTCACTACACACTTCAAACCTCATTAAAACATTCACTTTGGTTATTCATAAATATTATTTCAATTGAAACTGTTGTTTAGAGAGTTTCTGTCATTTCTACGGAGCCGGGTTATGGCAGAATGGGGCTCGTCCGGGACACAGGGGACTTCATACTGAGCCGTGGCATGGGCGTGGCCGTGTTGTCTGTTCCGTTACACAGGATGAGTTTGGAGTGTGAGCTGGTGCGGGGAGAGGTCACTGTCGGTGTGCGACCAGCGCTGCCCATCGAGAGGATTCATTTCATTTTGGAGAATGGGTCGGCTGGTGGTGGTGTCTGGGCTGACACAGACTCTGGTGGTGGTGTCTGGGCTGACACAGACTCTGGTGGTGGTGTCTGGGCTGACACAGACTCTGGTGGTGGTGTCTGGGCTGACACAGACTCTGGTGGTGGTGTCTGGGCTGACACAGACTCTGGTGGTGGTGTCTGGGCTGACACAGACTCTGGTGGTGGTGTCTGGGCTGACACAGACTCTGGTGGTGGTGTCTGGGCTGACACAGACTCTGGTGGTGGTGTCTGGGCTGACACAGACTCTGGTGGTGGTGTCTGGGCTGACACAGACTCTGGTGGTGGTGTCTGGGCTGACACAGACTCTGGTGGTGGGGAGACTGTGGATCCTGAGGCTGTGGAGGTGCTGCACCTGTTGTTACTTTATGTCCCACTGTCCCTGAGAGCGTTACGTCATCGCAGCCAGACGTGTTCCCTGCGTGCGCGGTGACGCAGGCCATGCATGAAGCGGATTCTGCAGATGATGCAGAGTCAGTGATTTTGTGTTATCCACGGCAGAATATCCATTAAATGTATCCCACGCTGAGTTGGTTCGGTCGCAGCAAGAAGGTCTGACTTTGGAAAGTTCATTTGATTTGGCTGTCTCCGAGGCACGAAACTCTGCTCCCACGAATGTCTACTGTCGCTGTGTCCTTGGGCAAGACACTTAACCCCACATTGCCTGAAGCTCCCGCTGAAACACCGAGGCTGTGGCACTGATGTAGCAGCCATCTTCCTGTGGACCCACCCCCTGCAGAGGATCAGAGGGACTGGTGCTATGAGCATTGGGGGCAGCTCTCATTACCACCCCCCGACCCAGAGATGGACTAATAAAGGGGTAGAATATGAATGAATGAATGACGAGGCACAGATAGAGAGTTTGGCAAATGGATATTCTGTTCAGAAGGATGTGCTGTTCAGAAAGTACATGTTTGTGGGGACCGTGTGCACGATGCCATGTTCCAAGTTGTAGTTCCAGCAAAGTTTCGTTCTTGAGGTGGTACACAATAATTCTGGTCACTTTGGCGTTCGTAAAACATATCTGAGTCTTCTCAAGCATTTCTTTGGCCGCGGGTGAATAGAGATGTGTCGGCGTTTGTTAAGACTTGTCACACATGTTGACAGGAAAAAGGGCACTAGCCCCAGCACCACTGCAGCCTATTCCAGCTGTAAGTCTACAGTCTAAGTCCTGGATCTACAGTCTCAGTCCTGGATCTACAGCCTCAGTCCTGGATCTAAAGCCTCGGTCCTGGATCTGCAGTCTCACTCCTGGGTCTAAAGCCTCAGTCCTGGGTCTAAAGCCTCAGTCCTGGGTCTACAGCCTCAGTCCTGGGTCTACAGCCTCCTGAATCTTAAATCTGGGACTGGGACAGCAGTAAAGTCAGAGAGGTGCAGAGAGAGCTCACCTGTCCTCCAGCAGCAGGAGTTCCTCCGTGTGCTGCTGCTGGAGCTTCCTCAGAGCCTCCTCCAGACCCACTCTCACCTCGTCCTTCTCCTGCTGCAGCTGGTCACAGCACTGCGACGTCGACACTGCACAAAAACAAAACAGTCATCACTTACCAACCAGAGAGAGACCAGAGGAAGACCAGAGAGAGACCAGAGAGAGACCAGAGAGAGGCCAGAGGGAGACCAGAGAGAGACCAGAGAGAGGCCAGAGGGACCAGAGAGAGACCAGAGGGAGACGAGAGAGAGACCAGAGGGAGACCAGAGAGAGGCCAGAGGGACCAGAGAGAGACCAGAGGGAGACGAGAGAGAGACCAGAGAGAGACCAGAGAGAGGCCAGAGGGACCAGAGAGAGACCAGAGGGAGACCAGAGAGAGGCCAGAGGGACCAGAGAGAGACCAGAGGGAGACGAGAGAGAGACCAGAGAGAGACCAGAGGGAGACGAGAGAGAGACCAGAGAGAGGCCAGAGGGACCAGAGAGAGACCAGAGAGAGGCCAGAGGGACCAGAGAGAGACCAGAGGGAGACGAGAGAGAGACCAGAGGGAGACCAGAGAGAGGCCAGAGGGACCAGAGAGAGACCAGAGGGAGACGAGAGAGAGACCAGAGAGAGACCAGAGAGAGGCCAGAGGGACCAGAGAGAGACCAGAGGGAGACCAGAGAGAGGCCAGAGGGACCAGAGAGAGACCAGAGAGACCAGAGAGAGACCAGAGAGAGACATGTCTGTGTATAGAAAAGGTGTAAAAATAGCAAGGTTTCTACTGCCATCTACTGGTGCGAGTGAGAATTACAGCCAAGTTACTCCAAGTCGCCTCTGTCTATTCCATTCAATCCAGTTTATTTTGTATCGCCCTAAATCACAACAGTAGTTTTCTCTGAGGACTGTACAAAGCTGTCGATTCTCCAACACAGATCAGAAAATCAATCCTGGTGTGACCATTGTTCAGACTTCAGTTTTCAGTGGAGCGTGTGGTTCGAGTCATGTTTATTTGACACTTATACGACCAGACACTGGAGGCAGACAGAGTGGACTATCAAGGACCTGCGAGCCAAACCTGTCTCCCCCTCTCCCCCTCTCCCCCCTTCCTCTCCTCTGCTCTTCTCCCCATCTCCCCCTAATATTATCAAGGCTGTCGCTCTCCTTCCCATCCCTCCTGACTCTAAGCTCTCTCCCCTTCTCTCTCTGCTCTCCCCCTAATATTATTAATTCTGTTTCTCTTCCCTCTCTCCCCTCCCTTCCTAATGTGGTCTCTCTCCTCTCTCCCCTCCCTCCCTAATGTGGTCTCTCTCCTCTCTCCCCTCCCGTCCTAATGTGGTATCTCTCCTCTCTCCCCTCCCGTCCTAATGTGGTCTCTCTCCTCTCTCCCCCTCCCGTCCTAATGTGGTCTCTCTCCTCTCTCCCCTCCCTTCCTAATGTGGTCTCTCTCCTCTCTCCCCTCCCTCCCTAATGTGGTCTCTCTCCTCTCTCCCCTCCCTTCCTAATGTGGTATCTCTCCTCTCTCCCCTCCCGTCCTAATGTGGTCTCTCTCCTCTCTCCCCTCCCTCCCTAATCTTACTAATGTGGTCTCTCCTCTCTCTCTCTCCTCTCTCCCCCCGACATTACTAATACAGTCTCTCTCGTCCTGGTGGACTGGTGCATTCCTGTGTGATGACTTCAGAGCAGTCGGGACAGAGACGGCCCACGTCGAGGCCGATTCTAACATCTGCAAAACCACATTCATCACCTGCACCAGAACCACCAGGAGGAGGGGGAAGGGCACCAGAACCACCAGGAGGAGGGGGAAGGGCACCAGAACCACCAGGAGGAGGGGGAAGGGCACCAGAACCACCAGGAGGAGGGGGAAGGGCACCAGAACCACCAGGAGGAGGGGGAAGGGCACCAGAACCACCAGGAGGAGGGGGGAGGGCACCAGAACCACCAGGAGGAGGGGGAAGGGCACCAGAACCACCAGGAGGAGGGGGGAGGGCACCAGAACCACCAGGAGGAGGGGGAAGGGCACCAGAACCACCAGGAGGAGGGGGAAGGGCACCAGAACCACCAGGAGGAGGGGGAAGGGCACCAGAACCACCAGGAGGAGGGGGGAGGGCACCAGAACCACCAGGAGGAGGGGGAAGGGCACCAGAACCTGTCACATTTGAAAGATCAGTTTTTAAAAACAGAGGACCACCCTCTCTCAGCCAATCAGCTCTCATACCGACATACTTCCCCTTTAGAGAGAGTACACAGCAGCAGCAGTGGTTTCTCACACATACCTCATTAACTTCCACTTGTCACAGATAAAGACAGAACCATCGATGTTTTCCTTTCGGCGCCACATGGTCTGAATGTGGTTATAGTTTAACTGATATAAAAGATAAGGAGGTGTTTTTACCTCCGGAAAGAACCCCGGCTGCAGAGGTCAATTTCTAGGATTGATCCAAAAGTTTAAACACAAACTGGGAACAGAAGGAGAGAGGAAGGTGCTGAGGAGGGAACAGAAGGAGAGGGAGGTGCTGAGGAGAGAACAGAAGGAGAGGGAGGTGCTGAGGAGAGAACAGAAGGAGAGGGAGGTGCTGAGGAGAGAACAGAAGGAGAGGGAGCTGCTGAGGAGAGAACAGAAGGAGAGGGAGGTGCTGAGGAGGGAACAGAAGGAGAGGGAGGTGCTGAGGAGGGAACAGAAGGAGAGGGAGGTGCTGAGGAGAGAACAGAAGGAGAGGGAGCTGCTGAGGAGAGAACAGAAGGAGAGGGAGGTGCTGAGGAGGGAACAGAAGGAGAGAGGGAGATGCTGAGGAGGGAACCGAAGGTGAGAGGGAAGTGCTGAGGAGGGAACAGAAGGAGAGGGAGGTGCTGAGGAGGGAACCGAAGGTGAGAGGGAGGTGCTGAGGAGGGAACAGAAGGAGAGGGAGGTGCTGAGGAGAGAACAGAAGGAGAGAGGGAGATGCTGAGGAGGGAACCGAAAGAGAGAGGGAGGTGCTGAGGAGGGAACAGAAGGAAAGGGAGGTGCTGAGGAGAGAACAGAAGGAGAGGTAGCTGCTGAGGAGAGAACAGAAGGAGAGAGGAAGGTGCTGAGGAGGGAACAGAAGGAGAGGGAGGTGCTGAGGAGAGAACAGAAGGAGAGAGGGAGATGCTGAGGAGGGAACCGAAGGTGAGAGGGAAGTGCTGAGGAGGGAACAGAAGGAAAGAGGGAGGTGCTGAGGACGAAACAAAAGGAGAGAGGGAGGTGATGAGGAGAGAACAGAAGGAGAGAGGGAGATGCTGAGGAGAGAACAGAAGGTGAGAGGGAAGTGCTGAGGACGAAACAAAAGGAGAGAGGGAGGTGATGAGGAGAGAACAGAAGGAGAGAGGGAGATGCTGAGGAGAGAACAGAAGGTGAGAGGGAAGTGCTGAGGACGAAACAGAAGGAGAGAGGGAGGTGATGAGGAGAGAACAGAAGGAGAGAGGGAGGTGATGAGGAGAGAACAGAAGGAGAGAGGGAGATGCTGAGGAGGGAACCGAAAGAGAGAGGGAGGTGCTGAGGAGGGAACAGAAGGAAAGAGGGAGGTGCTGAGGAGGGAACCGAAGGAGAGAGGGAGATGCTGAGGAGAGAACAGAAGGTGAGAGGGAAGTGCTGAGGACGAAACAGAAGGAGAGAGGGAGGTGATGAGGAGAGAACAGAAGGAGAGAGGGAGGTGATGAGGAGAGAACAGAAGGAGAGAGGGAGATGCTGAGGAGGGAACCGAAAGAGAGAGGGAGGTGCTGAGGAGGAAACAGAAGGAGAGAGGGAGGTGCTGAGGAGGGAACAGAAGGAGAGAGGGCGGTGCTGAGGAGGGAACAGAAGGAGAGAGGGAGGTGCTGAGGAGGGAACAGAAGGAGAGGGAGGTGCTGAGGAGAGAACAGAAGGAGAGAGGGAGGTGCTGAGGAGCTACTGTTTAATACACATCTCTCTCATCTCCCTCTCATCTGTCTCTCGCTCATCAGAGTGCCAGCAGGAGGCCCTAGTCCCTGTGCTCCTCAGAGTCCCAGCAGGAGGCCAGTCCCTGTGCTCCTCAGAGTCCCAGCAGGAGGCCAGTCCCTGTGCTCCTCAGAGTCCCAGCAGGAGGCCAGTCCCTGTGCTCCTCAGAGTCCCTCCCTGAAGCCTTCATAGTCCCCTCTCCCTCTGGTCCGTGTGCAGAGCAAGTGTAGAGCAGTTGGTGGTGAATGGAACAAAGGCGGTGACAGCTGTAGACTCAGACTCATGTTGATCCTTCATTACAAACTGAGAGACCAGAGAGTGACCAGAGAGACCAGAGAGACCAGAGAGAGAAACCAGAGAAAGACAAGAGAGAGAGACCAGAGAGAGACCAGAGAGAGATCAGAGAGAGACCAGAGAGAGAGACCAGAGAGAGAGACCAGAGAGAGAACAGAGAGAGAGACCAGAGAGAGAGACCAGAGAGAGACTAGAGTGGACATGACAAAGATGGGGAGCTTTGAGTTTCATGTGGATTGTTTCAGGATTTACAGAGAAACCAGCTCTAAACTCAGACCAGAATCTTACTTTTGACCCTTACCACAGTTACCATAGTTACCATGAGATATTTCTCCGCTGGCCCCCACCACGATGTGAAACTATAGACTCTTTGGGGCGTTGTGATGTCACATGAACACAACCCATTAGCTGAAAGCAAACACACTAAGATCTGCTTTTTTAACAGTCTTTGCTCAGACCACAAAGAGCCTGAGGTTTAACCAGTTTGTCAGAGCAGGATTTACAGCCCCATATTTCAGAACTCACTGAACATCAATGACAGCTGCCATCTGGTCTGGTCTGGTTCAGAAATATGTAACTCTGCTAGTTTAGACCAGAAAGAGAGAGCAAAGAGACCAGAGAGAGAGCAGAGAGAGAGACCAGAGACAGTTAAAAGAGAGACCAGAGAGAGAGACCAGAGAGAGGGACCAGAGAGAGGGACCAGAGAGAGAGACCAGAGAGAGACCAAAGAGAGAGACCAAAGATAGACTAAAGACAGTTCAGAGAGAGACCAGAGAGAGACCAAAGAGAGACCAGAGAGAGACCAAAGAGAGACCAGAGAGAGACCAAAGAGAGACCAGAGACAGTTCAGAGAGAGACCAGAGACAGTTCAGAGAGAGACCAGAGAGAGAGACCAGAGAGAGAGACCAGAGAGAGTGACCAGAGAGAGATCAGAGACAGTTCAGAGAGAGACCAGAGAGAGAGACCAGAGAGAGATCAGAGACAGTTCAGAGAGAGACCAGAGAGAGAGGCCAGAGAGAGATCAGAGACAGTTCAGAGAGACCAGAGTGATAATAAATATATTCTTACTTAACAGTTAGAGCGTCAGCAAAAAAACACAAAACCAAAGACAGAACCAGAGACAGAACCTGGTGCAGTGATGCTGGTGTAGGTGTGAGGTGAGAGACCTGGTTTTCTAACAGGCGTGAGGTTTGTGCGAACACCTCCGGTCGCCCATAACTCACATTCCTCTTCTGTGTGTGTGAGACCAGAGTGAGGTCAGAGAGAGACCAGAGAGAGACCAGAGAGAGACCAGAGAGAGACCAGAGAGAGAGACCAGAGAGAGACCAGAGAGAGACCAGAGAGAGACCAGAGAGAGACCAGAGAGAGAGACCAGAGAGACCAGAGAGAGACCAGAGAGAGACCAGAGAGAGACCAGAGAGACCAGAGAGAGACCAGAGAGACCAGAGAGAGACCAGAGAGACCAGAGAGACCAGAGAGAGACCAGAGAGAGACCAGAGAGACCAGAGAGACCAGAGAGAGACCAGAGAGAGACCAGAGAGACAGAAAGAATAAAGCTAACCTTAACCCTAAAGCAGGTCTAAAGCAGGACTAAAGCAGGACTAAAGCAGGTCTAAAGCAGGTCTAAAGCAGGTCTAAAGCAGGACTAAAGCAGGACTAAAGCAGGTCTAAAGCAGGTCTAAAGCAGGACTAAAGCAGGACTAAAGCAGGACTAAAGCAGGTCTAAAGCAGGTCTAAAGCAGGTCTAAAGCAGGACTAAAGCAGGTCTAAAGCAGGACTAAAGCAGGTCTAAAGCAGGACTAAAGCAGGTCTAAAGCAGGACTAAAGCAGGTCTAAAGCAGGTCTAAAGCAGGACTAAAGCAGGACTAAAGCAGGTCTAAAGCAGGACTAAAGCAGGTCTAAAGCAGGTCTAAAGCAGGACTAAAGCAGGTCTAAAGCAGGTCTAAAGCAGGTCTAAAGCAGGTCTAAAGCAGGTCTAAAGCAGGACTAAAGCAGGTCTAAAGCAGGACTAAAGCAGGTCTAAAGCAGGTCTAAAGCAGGACTAAAGCAGGACTAAAGCAGGTCTAAAGCAGGACTAAAGCAGGACTAAAGCAGGACAGTGATATATCTGTCTCAGAGTCCACTCCCTGGACCAACTAAAATTACACCTTTGGTTATTTTTAATGATGACCATCTGCAGCTAGTAACGAGTGTGAAGGCTTATTCCAATACACACACACACACGCACAGACGCACACAGACACACACACAAGCACAGACACACATGCATACAGACACACACACAAGCACAGACACACACACATACAGACACACACACACACACACACACACACACACTTGGACAGCCTATATATAATATCCTATACACCAAGTGATACAGTCTTGCTTAAAAGACTTTCTCTCTTTATCGGTGGTTGTGTGAAATCTATTCTTATCAAATAAAAATGAGGTGAGAAACTTCTGGCCCTGAGCAGAAATCTCCATCCCCCAGGTCTCAGTAACGTGTGTTGTCCTTTAATCTTTCATCTATGAGAGTCTTCTGTGGTAGTTGTGGATCCTCTCTGGTCTCTCTCTGGTCTCTCTCTCTGGTCTCTCCCTCTGGTCTCTCCCTCTGGTCTCTCTCTCTGGTCTCTCCCTCTGGTCTCTCTCTCTGGTCTCTCTCTCTGGTCTCTCTCTCTGGTCTCTCTCTCTGGTCTCTCTCTCTGGTCTCTCCCTCTGGTCTCTCTCTCTGGTCTCTCTCTCTGGTCTCTCTCTCTGGTCTCTCTCTCTGGTCTCCCTCTGGTCTCTCTTTCTGGTCTCTCTCTCTGGTCTCTCCCTCTGGTCTCTCTCTCTGGTCTCTCCCTCTGGTCTCTCTCTCTGGTCTCTCTCTCTGGTCTCTCTCTCTGGTCTCTCTCTGGTCTCTCTCTCTGGTCTCTCTCTCTCTGGTCTCTCTCTCTGGTCTCTCTCTCTCTGGTCTCTCTCTCTGGTCTCTCTCTCTCTGGTCTCTCTCACTGGTCTCTCTCTCTGGTCTCTCTCTCTGGTCTCTCTCTGGTCTCTCTCTCTGGTCTCTCTCTCTGGTCTCTCTCTGGTCTCTCTCTCTGGTCTCTCTCTCTGGTCTCTCTCTCTGGTCTCTCTCTCTCTCTGGTCTCTCTCTCTGGTCTCTCTCTGGTCTCTCTCTCTGGTCTCTCTCTGGTCTTTCTCTGGTCTCTCTCTCTGGTCTCTCTCTCTCTGGTCTCTCTCACTGGTCTCTCTCTCTGGTCTCTCTCTCTGGTCTCTCTCTGGTCTCTCTCTCTGGTCTCTCTCTCTGGTCTCTCTCTCTCTCTGGTCTCTCTCTCTCTGGTCTCTCTCTCTAGTCTCTCTCTCTCTCTCTGGTCTCTCTCTCTGGTCTCTCTCTCTGGTCTCTCTCTCTCTCTCTGGTCTCTCTCTCTGGTCTCTCTCTCTGGTCTCTCTAGTCTAAACCAGGACTAATCCAGGACTAAACCAGGTCTAAAGCGGGACAGGCCTGGTTTGAAGCCTTGTTATTCCTCCACATATTTGAGCTTCTGTGTCTCGTCTGTGTAAAAACACATTAATCCTGTACATTCAGCGCTGACAGAGAAATGGCACAACTCCAACTCCAACTCTAACCCTAAAGCTTCAATAGTGAAAATCATTTTAACCTGAGACTCAACTGTTCGGAGCCGCTGTAATTACACATGTTTGCAATTTGAAACTAGAAATCTACACTGACTTGTGCTTTATGTAAAGTCTGATTTACACAAAGTACAAACAAAGATTCATTATGATCATTATTACCGTAATCACATGTTCACGAATGATAACAACACCTGGGAGATCATACAGGAGAAAAACTACAGGACCAAAGACAGATCCTTGAGGTGCTCCATTAGAGCTGCACGGAACAAGCAACAAGAGCCGAAGAACTGAAACTTTATAAGCAAATACAATAAAATATGTGAGAAAATGTGTGTTTGTGTGGAGCCAGTTTGCCCTCTCCCTCTGGTCTCCCTCTGGTCCCTCTCTCTGGTCTCTCTCTGGTCCCTCTCTCTGGTCTCTCTCTGGTCCCTCTCTCTGGTCTCTCTCTCTGGTCTCTCTCTGGTCCCTCTCTCTGGTCTCTCTCTGGTCCCTCTCTCTGGTCTCTCTCTGGTCTCTCTCTGGTCTCTCTCTGGTCCCTCTCTGGTCCCTCTCTCTGGTCTCTCTCTGGTCCCTCTCTCTGGTCTCTCTCTGGTCTCTCTGGACTCCCTTTGGTCTCTCTCTCTCTGGTTTGTCTCTCTCTGGTCTCTCTGGACTCCCTTTGGTCTCTCTCTCTCTCTCTCTCTCTCTCTTTGATTTGTCTCTCTCTGGTTTGCCTATATGCTCTCTGTCTCTGCTCTCTCTCTGCTCTCACTTTCTCTCTGGTTTGTCTCTCTCGGGACTCTCTTTGGTCTCTCTCTCTCTCTGGTACTTTTTAGGTTGTTTTTTGTCTTTCTGTGCAGTGTTTTGTCTCCTGCATCAGTCCACAACTGGTTCAACACATCTACAAGTGCCCAGAACCATGTGAAAAAGAAGGATGTAGACACATGAGTCTGCAGCTCCTGAGTCAGAGACATTTGTTTAAATGGAAATGTCATCAAATGTTCAACCTGAAAACCACAGATGCAAAGTGCTCAAAACTTTATAATGTTGTGAATAATAAAGAGTTCCTGTCTGGTCTCTCTCTGGTCTCTGTCTGGTCTCTCTCTGGTCTCTCTCTGGCCTCTCTCTGGTCTCTCTCTGGTCTCTCTCTGGTCTCTCTCTGGTCTCTCTCTGGTCTCTCTCTGGTCTCTCTCTGGTCTCTCTCTGGTCTCTGTCTGGTCTCTGTCTGGTCTCTCTCTGGTGTCTCTCTGGTCTCTGTCTGGTCTCTGTCTGGTCTCTGTCTGGTCTCTCTCTGGTCTCTGTCTGGTCTCTCTCTGGTCTCTCTCTGGTCTCTCTCTGGTCTCTCTCTGGTCTCTCTCTGGTCTCTCTCTGGTCTCTGTCTGGTCTCTGTCTGGTCTCTGTCTGGTCTCTCTCTGGTCTCTGTCTGGTCTCTGTCTGGTCTCTCTCTGGTCTCTCTCTGGTCTCTCTCTGGTCTCTGTCTGGTCTCTGTCTGGTCTCTGTCTGGTCTCTGCCTGGTCTCTGTCTGGTCTCTCTCTGGTCTCTGTCTGGTCTCTCTCTGGTCTCTGTCTGGTCTCTGTCTGGTCTCTGTCTGGTCTCTGTCTGGTCTCTGTCTGGTCTCTGCCTGGTCTCTGTCTGGTCTCTCTCTGGTCCCTGTCTGGTCTCTCTTACCCAGTTCATTGCGGAGGCTGCTCAGCTCCTGGGACAGTTCCTTCTTCTGCTTCAAAGACTCTTCACGCTACAAAAGATAAAAAACAAAAACAATGTTAAAATCACAGAAACAGAGATACCAGCTTCAGCTCTGACTCGTGTCTCCCCCGCAGGAACTTCCCCCACAGGGCCATTTTTACAGGAACTTTTATGGCCCCAAGACCCTCCTCCATGCTAGGTACTCCGTTGGGCCCTAAACAGCTCCTGGGGCTTGGGGTTAACCCGGTGCTGATTGGTTAAAGCTAGCGCAGGCTCTGCAGAAAGCACCAAAACAAAATCCAGCAGCATTAGCCTAGCAGAATTAGCCTAGCATTAGCAGCAAAATATAAAGATAAAAGACATATCAGCTTCACCTCGACGCACTGAGGATTCATCACACTCAGAAACAAGACCGTAAAAAGAACAAAAAATTAATTATTATTGATGACGAGGCGACATCAAAACTTGTGACGTCGCTGAAGGAAAACTGCTGCGGTGGAAACGGGACTATTCTACTGTGGGGGAAGTGTCTTGCCAAAGGACACAACAGTTTGACACTTTACAGCCGCAGCCGCCCCACTGTGGCATCTGGTGTTTCCAGAGGTCTCCCATCTACTCTACCCTACCCTACCCTACTCTACTCTTCCCAACTCTACTCTACTCTACTCTACTCTACTCTACTCTACTCTACTCTACTCTACTCTACTCTACTCTACTCTACTCTACTCTACTCTACTCTACTCTACTCTACTCTACTCTACTCTACTCTACCCTACTCTACTCTACTCTACTCTACCCTACTCTACTCTACTCTACCCGACTCTACCCGACTCTACTCTACCCTACCCTACACTTCTCTACTCTACCCTACTCTACTCTACTCTACTTTACTCTACCCAACTCTACACTACTCTATCCTACTCTACTCTACTCTACCCTATCCTACACTTCTCTTCTCTACCCTACTTTACTCTACTCTACTCTCTCTGGTCTCACTCTGGTCTCACTCTGGTCTCGGTCTCTCTCTGGCCTCTCTCTCTGGTCTCTCTCTGGTCTCTCTCTGGTCACTCTCTGGTCTCTCTCTGGTCTCCCTCTGGTCTCCCTCTGGTCTCGGTCTCTCTCTGGTCTCTCTCTCTGGTCTCTCTCTGGTCTCTCTCTGGTCTCGGTCTCTCTCTGGTCTCTCTCTCTGGCCTCACTCTGGTCTCCCTCTGGTCTCTCTCTGGTCTCCCTCTGGTCTCTCTCTACTCTCTCTCACACATGTTTCCTAAACACAGAGTCTGTGATCTCTCGGTGACAGCTGCAGACACAAAGGTCACTCTCACTCACAACACTCACACGTGTCACGGAAGAAAACCTGCTTTTTACTCTTGCTTTCTGCAGTCGTAAACTTCCAACTGTGCCAACAGCTGTCACAGAAACACAGCAGAACTGATCCAGGACCTGTTCTCCGCTGCATCAGGGAGAGAAACCTCACACACAAAGTCTCTTCACTTCATTATTCTCTTCCAAACACAGAGAGGGTAAAATACTGTAGCCACAGCTGCCCTGGGGCAAAATGACAGAAGTGAGGCAGCAAGTCTGTGCCATTGGCCCCTCCCACCATCAACATCAAAACCAGAGATATCAGAGAGACCAGAACAAGAGAGAAAACCCAGAGAGACCAGAGAGAGAGAGAGACCAGAGAGGGAGAGAGACCAGAGAAGACCAGAGAGAGACCAGTGAAAGAGACCATTGAGAGGGAGATAACAGAGAAAGAGAGACCAGAGAGAGGGAGAGACCAGAGAACCAGAGAGAGGGAGAGACCAGAAAGAGAGAGAGACCAGAGAGAGGAGGAGACCAAAGAGAGGAGCCAGAGAGAGGGAGAGACCAGAGAGAGAGAGAGACAGAGACCAGGGAGTGACAAGATCTTTGGACTTGTATTCCGATGTGGTTTTACTGCAAATGGCCAATAAACTGAATCTGAAGCAGCACAGTGGCAGAGTGGTTAGCCTTCTCACTTCTCAGCTCTGGCTCCAGCATCAACACCTGAGGATGGGCCCCGTTACTACGACAACCACTGCTCCTGACAGACACAACTTACAACTACAATGTAATACCATAAGTGTAATGGTATACCATAAGTGTAAGGTGATTTGGTTCTTCTATAGCGGACAACTGTGAGATAGCGACGGTAATACCATGAAAAGAACCATCTTAAACTATTTATATAAGTTTCTCTCACTCTGGTCTCTCTCTTTGATCTCTATCTTGTCTCTCTGCTCTCTCTGGTTCCTCTTTCTGTTCTCTCCCTCTCTTTGGTGTCTCTCGAGTATCTCTCTCTGCTCTCTTTCTGGTTTCTCTCTGGTCTCTCGCTCTGCTCTCTCTCACTGCTCTTTCTCTGGTCTCTCTATAGTCTCTCTCTGGTCTCTCACTGCTCTTTCTCTGGTCTCTCTCTGGTCTCTCTCTCTTGTCTCTCTCTGCTCTCTCTCACTGCTCTTTCTCTGGTCTCTCTCTGGTCTCTCTCTCTTGTCTCTCTCTGCTCTCTCTCACTGCTCTTTCTCTGGTCTCTCTCTAGTCTCCCTCTGCTCTCTCTCTGACTTAGCTTAATATCGTTGAAGTTGACTCAGAGAGGTAACTGGACGTGAGAGCTCTCCTCTGGTTTGAGTTCCACCTGGTTGTAGTACTATGGTTACTGTGATGGTTGAGTATTAGCAGAGTAAGAACCAGTTTGATCCAGTTCAATCCATTGGAATGAAGACGGTGACAGCTCGAAGCACGCCTTCTTTGAATACTTAACAATAATCTCTGTCCAAATACTTTCTCAGGCTTCAGGATACACAAAAAAACAACCATAAGTCACTCATGGAAGGAACGATCTCAGACCAGAAAGGTTGGCGTGTTGTTAGGACTCGTGTCGGCGGAGACAGGGACACAGCAAGATAAAAAGGGGCAAAGAGTCTTCTGAAGTCACAGCCAGGACAAGAAAGAAAGACCAGAGAACGAGACCAGAAAGAGAGACCAAAGAGAGAGGCCAGAGAGAGACCAAGGAGAGAGACCAGAGAGAGAGACCAGAGAGAGAGAGACCAAAGAGAGACCAGAAAGACCTGAGAGAGACAAGAGAGAGAGACCAGAGAGAGAGACCAAAGAGAGAGGCCAGAGAGAGAGACCAAAGAGAGAGGCCAGAGAGAGACCAGAGAGAGAGACCAGAGAGAGAGGCCAGAGAGAGACCAGAGAGAGAGACCAGAGAGAGACCAGAGAGAGAGACCAGAAAGAAAGACCAAAGAGAGACCAGAAAGAGACCTGAGAGGGACAAGAGAGAGAGACCAGAGAGAGAGGCCATAGGAGACCAGAGAGAGACCAGAGAGAGAGAATAAAGAGAGACCAGAGAGAGAGACAAGAGAGCGAGAACAGAGAGAGAGGCCATAGGAGACCAGAGAGAGACTAGAGAGAGACCAGAGCGAGACCAGCGAGAGACCAGAGAGAGACCAGAGAGAAACTAGAGAGAGACCAGAGAGAGACCAGAGCGAGACCAGAGAGAGACCAGAGCGAGACCAGAGAGAGACCAGAGAGAGACCAGAGAGAAACTAGAGAGAGACCAGAGAGAGACCAGAGAGAGACAAGAGAGAGACTAGAGAGAAACTAGAGAGAGACCAGAGAGAGACCAGAGAGAGAGACCAGAGAGAGAGACCAGAGAGAGGCCAGAGAGAGGCCAGAGACCAGAGAGAGACCAGAGAGAGACCAGAGACCAGAGAGAGGCCAGAGAGAGACCAGAGACCAGAGAGAGCCGTGATAAAATACCATTATATTCAGAGCTTCTAGTCTCTGACTTGTCTTGAGTTACTTCGTTGGAGTCGACCTTTTTCAGGTGTTTTTGAACAGTCTTCTTCAGCCTGCGGCGACTTCTAAGTCTTACATAATCATTTCAGTTCAGTCCAGGCCTCAGAGCAGACATGTGGGAGACCCGGAGGAACCCGACACACACACGGGGAGAACATGCAAACTCCACACAGAAAGGCTTTGGCAGGATCTACAGTACATAATTCCCATTGTGTTTAAAACTTGAATAAAAATGTTTAAAAATGAAACACAAATGAATTTTTAGCTAAAAATCTATCCATTGAAACCGGGTGTATATAAACCTAAATTGTTTTCTTTGGTGTGAGAGAGAGAGCACCTGTAAGACTGAGAGCTGATTGGCTGAGAGAGGAGGGACCATTCTTTTTCCCTTTTCTGTCTGAAAAGTTGAGTTTAAGCTGTGAGAGAGCAAAACACATCCATGAAGGCTAGTGATAGAACAACAGAGAGGAATAATAGTGAGAGCAGAGAGAGAGAGAGAAGAGAGAGAGAGCACAGAGGGAGCAGAGAGAGAGAGCAGAGAGAGAAAGAGAGAGAGCGGAGAAAGAGAGAGAGAGAGAGCAGAGAGAGACCAGAGGGAGAGCAGAGAGAGACCAGAGAGAGACCAGAGAGCAGAGAGAGACTAGAGAGAGACCAGAGAGAGACTAGAGAGAGACCAGAGAGAGACCAGAGAGCAGAGAGAGACTAGAGAGAGACCAGAGAGAGACTAGAGAGAGACCAGAGAGAGACCAGAGAGAGACCAGAGGGAGAGCAGACAGAGAGACCAGAGAGAGACCAGAGAGCAGAGAGAGACTAGAGAGAGACCAGAGAGAGACTAGAGAGAGACCAGAGAGAGACCAGAGAGAGACCAGAGGGAGAGCAGACAGAGAGACCAGAGAGCAGAGAGAGACTAGAGAGAGACCAGAGAGAGACTAGAGAGAGACCAGAGAGAGACTAGAGAGAGACCAGAGAGACAAGAGAGAGAGACCAGCGAGAGAGACCAGAAAGAGACCAGAGAGAGACCAGAGCGAGACCAGAGAGAGACCAGAGAGAGAGACCAGAGAGAGACCAGAGAGAGAGACCAGAAAGAGACCAGAGAGAGACCTGAGCGAGACCAGAAAGAGACCAGAGCGAGACCAGAGAGAGAGCAACCAGAGAAAGAGAGCAGAGAGAGACATTTGAATAACTTTTGAGTGCTTGGTTTCTCCTCCTCTTCCAGGTCTCTCACCTTTCTCTTATTCTTGCGTCTCTCTTGTTTTGAAGCCAGCTTGCTCTTTCTGGGGAGAGCTTTGCTGCTGTTAGCTCCCATGTCGCTCGGTAATCCACCCGCCAATCATGAATGACAATAAACGCACATGCTAACGCTAACACTAGTCCGACTGCTACTACTACTACTACTGCTACTGCTGGTGTCCAACTGGTCTACTCTCTCTGACAGACAGCACTGGTGTCTACAGGCTCCTCCCACTACCTGCTTAAGTCCTCCCCCTTAGGGCAAACTCTATCTCCCTCTCTCTATCTCCCTCTCTCTATCTCCCTCTCTCTTTCTCCACCTTTCTCCTCCTATCTCTCCCCCTCTCTCTTCATTCCTTCCACAGGTTACCGTTTGCTGTGTCTTGTTATGTGCTGTTTAAAACCCAAAGCATTATCAAAATAAAAATAAACAACATTATTGACTTTTTTTTTGAGCTTTTAACGGCATTGTTACAACATTGTTCCTCATCTGTCACAGACCTGGGATTGTTTTAAGATCCACGCTAATATCAGAGATTTATGGCCAAAACGTTGCATGTAATGTCGCCCCTTCTGTCTTAAAGCTCTTGTGATAGTATGAATAGAGAGACCAGAAAGAGACCTGAGAGAGACCAGAGAGAGACCTGAGAGAGACCAGAGTGAGACCAAAGAGAGAGAGACTAGAGAAACCAGAGAGAGGGACCAGAGAGAGACCAGAGAGAGACCAGAGAGAATGAGACAAGAGAGAGACCAGAGAGAATGAGACAAGAGAGACCAGAGAGAGACCAGAGAGAGACCAGAGTGAGACCAAAGAGAGAGACCAAAGAGAGAGAGACCAGAGAAAGACCAGAGAGAGACCAGAGAGAATGAGACAAGAGAGAGACCAGAGAGAATGAGACAAGAGAGACCAGAGAGAGACCAGAGAGAGACCAGAGAGAGACCAGAGAGAATGAGACAAGGGAGACCAGAGAGAGACCCGAGTGAGACCAGAGTGAGACCGGAGTGAGAGGAATGGTCTGTGGAATGTGAGTTATTCCAGCTGCCGCTCCCTCTTTATCACTGATCTCTGAGTCTTTGAAGCACAGGTCCCTCACAGGAACCAGGCTTTAGCCACAGGAAAGTTCTGCACTTTTTATGTCACGTGCCAAAAACTGAGCACACACAACAAACACACACACAAACACACACACACAGATACACAGACACACACACATTCTCCAGAGTAGGAAGTATGTAAACTTTTGTTGATGAGTGTGTGTGGTATTTTGGGAATTCCAATCGGACAGGTTCATTCAAAACAAGAGAGACAGAGGGAGAGAGTGTGCGTGTGTGTGTCATTCTGTGTGTGTGTGTGTGTGTCATTCTCTGTGTGTGTGTGAGTGTGTGAGCACCGTTGTCTCTGTGTGTGTCTCTTTCTCTCTCTCTCTCTCTGTGTGTGTGTGTGTGTCTTTCTCTCTCTCTTTTTGTGTGTGTGTGTGTCTCTTTCTCTGTGTAGCTTTGATGACATCATAAGATTTTATTGGTAGAAGGAAAAAGAAAAAAAATAATAAACTTTGACTTTATAACTTAAATCTTTCTAACATAGATCTTTAAAACTTCAGTTGTAGAGCCATCAACAGTTCTAAGACAAACACACACATCTGTAAGGAGCTCAAGAACAAACTTTGTATCTAAGTATTTGAACAATGTTGAGACTTTAAAAAGGTTTACATAAAGTGTGTCCTTTAACCTTAAAGCCATAAAGTCTGTGCAACCAGTGACGATGGTCCACTGGTCTTTACCATCAGAGAAACACAACTATAGGAGCAGAGACCGAGGCTCTACCCTACTGGTCTTTCTCTCTGGTGTCTCTTTGGTCTCTCTTTTTGGTCTCTCTCTAGAGTCTCTCTCTCTCTGGTCTCTCTGTGGTCTCTCTGGTCTCTCTCTGGTCTCTCTCTGGTGTCTCTCTCTGGTCTCTCTCTCTGGCCTCTCTCTGGTCTCTCTCTCTGGTCTCTCTCTGGTCTCTCTCTGGTGTTTCTTTCTGGTCTCTCTCTCTGGTCTCTCTCTCTGGTCTCTCTCTGGTCTCTCTCAGGTCTCTCTCTCTGGCCTCTCTCTGGTCTCTCTCTCAGGTCTCTCTCTCTGGTCTCTCTCTCTGGTCTCTCTCTCTCTGGTCTCTCTCTCTGGTCTCTCTCTCTGGTCTCTCTCTCTGGCCTCTCTCTGGTCTCTCTCTCTGGTCTCTCTCTGGTCTCTCTCTGGTGTTTCTTTCTGGTCTCTCTCTCTGGTCTCTCTCTGGTCTCTCTCAGGTCTCTCTCTGGCCTCTCTCTGGTCTCTCTCTCTGGTCTCTCTCTCTGGTCTCTCTCTGGTCTCTCTCTGGTCTCTCTCTCTGGTCTCTCTCTGGTCTCTCTCTCAGGTCTCTCTCTCTGGCCTCTCTCTGGTCTCTCTCTCTGGTCTCTCTCTCTGGTCTCTCTCTGGTCTCTCTCTGGTCTCTCTCTCTGGTCTCTCTCTCTGGTCTCTCTCTGGTCTCTCTCTGGTCTCTCTCTCTGGTCTCTCTCATGAAATGTGCTACAGAAATAATCCTATCTTCTTCCAAGCCCACTTCCATATGTTACAGTACTCGTCCAGTCCCTTAGACTCCCTTAGCCTGCCTTAGCTTCCCTTAGCCTGCCATAGCATCCCTTAGCCTGCTTGAGTCTATCTGAGTCTATCTGAGGCCCAGTTTATACAGAGGCGCTGCGCAGATGTTGCCAGCTATTAACAGAAACGACCAGGCTCCTTATGCAAATTTCACAGTGTTCATACAAGGATGAGGTTCTAGCGCCCGGCCAGTAGAGGGCAGAAGAACTTTACAACACGACAGCCCCAGCCCCCCCAGAACTTCCTCTGCAAGGCGTGAAAACATGCACCAACATGTTTCTGCATTTAACAGCGGCTGCGAAAATTGAAACTGAAACTAGAGCTTTGCGTGGTTTTGTTTTGACAAACTAAAGGGTAGAATTGTCCTCCGCGTAGCGCTCGAAGCACACGTAGCCAGTTAGTTAAAGCTGCACTAACTGACTTTATTTTTGTATTAATTACTAAAATGCTATCCATGTCCATGTAGTGCAGTGGGATATACGTCCTTTTGAAGAAAAAGTAGTGGCGTGACATTATATTTTAGATCGAGTTTTGATGAAACAAGGAAGAGAATGTGTTTCGGGTCGCAGATTGTGACCAATCGCAGCGCACCACTGGCCCCCACTTTCGTGAGAAATCTACAGGTCCGTTAGCATAGACGGCTGAGTTAGCACAAGTGGCGGAGCTAACCTGAAGCTTCGTGTGTCTTCGTCACCGGTTACTGCTTACACAGCGAGACAGCCATCCAAAAGAAAGTCTTGTTCCTCCGCGCTTCCCGGTTCTATCGTTCTATGGTCACGCCATCCACGTGCAAATCCATATCCATGTATTATCCATATTGGGAGACGCTAGCTTCGTCCCAACAGTGAGTGTGTGTGGGGGGGAGATAGCTTCGTGGGTGCGGGGAGGGGAGCAGAAAGAGAGAGGCCAGCGAGTCCACGGCTTCAAAATCCCAAAGTCAGTTAGTGCAGCTTTAAGCCGCCGCCATTGTTGTTTACGTTTGTTCTTGGCTTCTGCGCATTTTCAAATATACGTGCGAGGAGCAGGTGGGGGTCATATCAGGCAAAGAATTCACACATTTTTCCTTACGCGGGTGTGAAAGAGCGCCCCCTGCTAAGAAGCGTATCTGAGCTGTGCACTCTGAGGCTGGATCTGAACTCCATATGAACGGGGGGTAGCAACTGACATCCAACTATAGCATTTTACTGCCGCATTGACTCTGTATAAACGGGGCAGTCTGCCTAAGTCTGTCTGTGTCCTCAGTGAGAGTGTGTGGTTGGTTTGCTCGCACCTTTCTAAAGCTGCAGATAAGATAAAGCTGGTGTTTGTGGATAGATAAGGTTCACCACAGCTGGGACTTTAGACACGTGTCTGTATAATGTTCTATGTCAATAAACTACTGTCACTACAGCTACAAGGACAGGAACTCATGCTAATACTAATGTTACTACTGTACTGCTGCTACAACTACTTCTACTGCTACAACAAGCACTACTACTGCTGGAATTTCCAAGCAGATCATTGGAATGAGGAACTAAAATCTCTGAGTCCATGAAGCCACAAAACACCTATTTGTTTAAAGTAAATACATAGATCTAAACCAGAGAGGAGTGAACCATGGACTCGCACTTTGAGAACCTGCTGCACACAGCTGCACTGGGACAGGACACAGCTGCACTGGGACAGGACACAGCTGCACTGGGACAGGACACAGCTGCACTGGGACAGGACACAGCTGCACTGGGACAGTACAGAGCGAACACAGTTATGTAAGAAGCAGTAAAACGCACAAGTGAAAAGATAACAGGTTGTTTTTATAGACGACTTTCCCTCAAGAGTTATGTGCAGAGTCAGAACTCTCACTGAACTGGTCTCTCTCTGGTCTCTCTCAGGTCTTTCTCTGGTCTTTCTCTGGTCTCTCTCTGGTCTCTCTCTGGTCTCTCTCTGGTCTCTCTCTGGTCTCTCTCAGGTCTTTCTCTGGTCTCTCTCAGGTCTTTCGCTGGTCTTTCTCTGGTCTCTGCATTAAAACAGCGCATTGGATTTGAAAAATCTACGTAGAGATGATCATTTTAGCACAACTACTTTTGTGCTATTGACCACGGAAGTCCGAATCTGGGAATATGGCGCATCTTTAACAAACTTCTGCTGTGATCATGCTGCGGGCACGGCCCCTTTGACACTGATTGGCCGAAAGTTAGACGCTTAAACTGTGATTACTTTGTGTGTGTTGTGTGCGCGTGTGTTGCGCGTGTGACATGCTGTGAGTGAGTGATGCATTTAAGGCAACTCTGAAAATACGGGACAAAAGCCGTCCTGTATCCATTCAATACACATAGTTCTTCTATAATACGGGACAATTCTGTATTTCAAGGGACGGTTGGCAACCCTACTCTCTCTGGTCCCTGGTCTCTCTCTGGTCTCTCTCTCTGGTCTCTCTCTCTGGTCTCTCTCTGGTCTCTCTCTGGTCTCTCTCTGGTCTCTCTCTGGTCTCTTTCTGGTCTCTCTCTGGTCTCTCTCTGGTCTCTCTCTGGTCTCTGTGTGTGTCGGTGGTAAAAGCAGCTCAGAGAGACCATAACTCCACATGATCATAATGACTGCAAATATTTACTCTGCTCCTTCAGTCATCCTGTTGCCGACAGACACATCCTGGACTCACTGGAACCAGGCCAGAAACCAGAGAGAGACCAGAAAGAGACCTGAGAGAGAGAGACCAGAGAGAGAGACTAGAGAGACACCAGACAGAGAGAGACCAGAGACAGAGACCAGAGAGACATGGGAGAGACCAGAGAGAGACCAGCGAGAGAGACCAGAGGCACCAGAGAGAGACCAGAGTGAGACCAGAGAGACACCAGAGTGAGACCAGAAAGAGACCAGAGAGAGACCAAAGAGACACCAGAGAGAGAGACCAGAGAGAGACCAGAGCGACACCAGAAAGAGACCAGAGAGAGAGACCAGAGAGAGAGAGCAGAAAGACACTAGAGAGAGACCAGAGAGAGACCAGAAAGACACCAGAGAGAGACCAAAGAGAGACCAGAGATAGACCAGAGAGATACCAGAAAGAGACCAGAGAGACACCAGAGAGAGGCCAGTGAGAGACCAGAGAGACTCCAGAGAGAGACCAGAGAGAGACCAGAGAGAGACCAGAGAGAGAGAGACAGAGTTTCAAAGCAGGTCAATCCTGAGCTGATGTCACCTCGGTCACTATGACATTAAACACAACAGGTGATAATAATACTGCTTCAATCCACAATTATCTCTGACTTTACAGACTGCAGAGACTGTAGAGACTGCAGAGACTGTAGAGACTGTAGAGACTGTAGAGACTGTAGAGACTGTAGAGACTGTAGAGACCGTAGAGACTGTAGAGACTGCAGAGACTGCAGAGACTGTAGAGACTGTAGAGACTGTAGAGACCGTAGAGACTGTAGAGACCGTAGAGACTGTAGAAACTGTAGAGACCGTAGAGACTGTAGAGACTGTAGAGACTGTAGAGACTGTAGAGACTGTAGAGACCTTAGAGACTGTAGAGACTGTAGAGACCGTAGAGACTGTAGAGACTGTAGAGACTGTAGAGACCTTAGAGACTGTAGAGACTGTAGAGACTGTAGAGACTGTAGAGACTGTAGAGACTGTAGAGACTGTAGAGACTGCAGAGACTGTAGAGACTGTAGAGACTGCAGAGACTGTAGAGACTGTAGAGACTGTAGAGACTGCAGAGACTGTAGAGACTGTAGAGACTGTAGAGACTGTAGAGACCGTAGAGACTGTAGAGACCGTAGAGACTGTAGAAACTGTAGAGACCGTAGAGACTGTAGAGACTGTAGAGACTGTAGAGACTGTAGAGACCGTAGAGACTGTAGAGACCGTAGAGACTGTAGAGACCGTAGAGACTGTAGAAACTGTAGAGACCGTAGAGACTGTAGAGACTGTAGAGACTGTAGAGACTGTAGAGACCTTAGAGACTGAAATCACGCTCTTTTTAGAGGACTGTAGAGACCTTAGAGACTGTAGAGACTGCAGAGACTGTAGTTTTCAGACTGTAGAGACTGTTTCAGTGTAGGGTAGAGCCCTGCAGAGACTGTAGAGACCCAAACTGCCGTATCCGTACCATGCTAATGTCCCTACTTTGCATATGAATGCAGCGAAACCCGCGGCCGGCCGAGCGCTAATGGCACTAATTAGCATATGAATGCAGCTGCTGGCCAGGCTGCTTCAGAACACTATTCAGCATTGGCGGATACCACTACTTTCAAACTCGTGATTGGCTGAAAAATCACACGTGGCCAGCCCACGTGGGATTACTCCCCATTGGTAGCTTACTCCCCATTGGCTGAAATCACTACTTTCAAATAAGTATAATCTCTCGTGATTGGCTGGCAAATCTGTCACTATTGGTCACCCTGCCTCATAATTAATGTAATAATATTTATATAAATATATATTTATTCATATCATTATTTATAGAGGAAATGAAAAATGTCCAGGAATATGTTCATACAATGAAAGCTTTATTAAAACACACACACAGCTTTATGCCCACACATAGGTAAAACTACAACTCTGAACTGTCCAATAGCCTCCTCGGGGTTGTAATTTGGCAGGGTTCTAGAGACGCTTAATGTGCGTGGCTCTGTACTTCCACGCCGCCTCTAACCGGGACTGCAGCTTTACACAGAGTTCAGAAAACTCCGGCTTTCGAAAAGACGGCGACCGCACAATCCACCCAGAGACACCGTCCACAACGCCTTCTTCTTCATTGGACATTAGGTCTACCGTGGCACACTTCCAGAGTTCCACTTTGTCACTTTCTAGCACACTCAGTCTCGATTCCACCAGCTGAAAGAATCAGTAAATATTATTAGCCACATCAAATCTTTTTTCCCATCTAAACATTGCCTGGATCAAAAACATAGTGTCTAAAGCAGACCTGGAGATTCTTATCCATGCATTTGTCTCCAGTAGGTTAGACTACTGTAACAACAGCTGCAGTACATTCAAAATGCAGCAGCTCAAGTCCTGACCAGAACTAGGAAGTACGATGGCAAGGCAAGTTTATTTGTCTAGCACAATTCATACACAAGGCAACTCAAAGTGCTGAACAAAATTAGAAAGCATTAAAATAAATAATCACAGTACATTAACAAAGATAAATATAAAATCCCTCAGTTGTAGCACAGTTAAACAGAACTGTTTTTAACCTGGTTTTAAACATTGTCAGAGAGGAGCTGTCACTTTAGCTGTGCTACAACTGAGGGAATTTATATTTATCTTTGTTAATGTTCTGTGATTATTTATATTAATGCTTTCTTTTGCTCAGTACTTTGAGTTTCCTGGTGTATGAATTGTGCTACACAAATAAACCTCCCTTGCCTTACTGTGCGATGCAGTTTAGTCTTACCCTCTTTCTTCTCGCTCGACTCTGAGCTGAACTCTTCGCCACATCCGCCCTCAATGAGTTTTCTGGCTTGGCATATTGATGGCTCCTGCGAACCGTCTCATAATAAGTCTTACAGGCCGCTAGAAAACAATCAAAAGAGTGATATGAATAAAAGTAACGTCACACAAGGAAGGAGAAACAGTAAAACACTTACACACAATGTCGTCTTTATCAACATTGTGGAAATGTGGACTTGCAGATATTGTGTTAAGTAAATAGGAGGTCACCGTCTCATTACGAGGCTAGATTAGTCTGAAAACAAAGTGTACAGTTATGATTGGTATCTATACATATCCATTATCTACACAAAAACATGTGTAGATAAACCAAATTCAATTTCCATGGATACATTAACAATACTTACATAACCTTTGAGAAAATGGATCCTTCAATGAAGAAAAAAGTGTGATAATTCTAAGAGCATAGCTTTCTTTTTGTTTTCGGGAAGGCATTTGTCTAAGGAAAGAAAAACAGTCATGGTCAAGGGACTTCATGGTTACATTAAAAGGCTAAATTAATAGTATCTACAAGTACATATTTTCACGGGGACCAAACCAAGAGATAATCTACAGGAGAACATCTACCTAGGTCATTTATAAAAGAGATAAGTACTATTTATCTTACAATGGGGAATCAATAACAGTGCTGAGAGAAACTGAATTGTTATGTGATTATTGTGAAAGGTCTTTCAAGTGATTTTCATTTTATTTTGAGTAAATATCCTTCCACTTGTAAGAAGGAACTTTTGAGTAATAACTGAGGGATACAACATACCCATGTGTTTCACTCATGTCACTGACGAGAAGGTCGACAAGTTGTCTTCGAGAGCGGTGACTTAGTGATCTCACAGAATTATAATCTTTAAGGATCTCTCGGTCACCAGGGTTTTCCTGCAGTTCCACCATCTACAAACACGTGAAAAATGTAAAATGACAATCTACAATTGTACCAAAAGTCTTATGATACAAAATGCAGCAGGACCTCTTTTGCTGTGTCCTTCTCACACATGTCCTGATTGGATCTCCTTGTGACTGCCACAGAGGATTCTCCTTTAGGAGGAGACTATGGGTTCAGGTCAATTGAAAGTGATGGTGTCCATTTCCATTTGAGAAAGATCTGTTAAAAAAATAAAACATCTAAATATGATGCATTACTTATAATACTTTGTCATTTCATGATTTTGAATGTGAAATAAATGTGTCTCTCCCGTGTCTCCTCCTGAAGCAAAACTCCTGAATTTAAAGCTCGGATACCCACATTTTTCCTCCATGCATTAACAATGCATGTTATTTGTGCACAAAAGTAAAATGTGAACTAATAAAACACGCAACAGGCCATTTTTATGATTATTTTGCAGACTTAAGAGCCCTGTGAGTCCTTGTTTGACTTTTTAGGCTGAGAGTGGACTTAAGGTTTTTTCCCCACACAGTTAGTGCCACTTTATTCCCAAACTGTAGTTAACTCATTATATTGAGAAATGTAGAGTTACCTTCAAGTGTGTTGTGACCGGGCGACGTCACGGTCCTTTAATATATTACGTGTCATTCACACTACTGGACAGAATAAACCCGCCTTAACGAAGTGTATTTCCCCAGTTTAGCTTTAGCCAAAAGGTTACAGCAGATATAACAGGTTCAAGTTTTAGTTTCATTTTTGTCACTTTCTTTCTTGTACTTTTTTTTTTTTCCTATATTATTTGAATGTGTTTTTCAGGTGGAGGTTAAGGTTGTTAAAGCAGTACTGAGTAAGTTATCACCTACAAGTGTCACTGCTTGTTGTGTCTTTTTCATAATTGTACATAGGAGTAAAATACTGTCCTGACAGACGAGACAAATGGGGGGGGATGTACTTACCTTTCTCCTTTCTCCATCTCCTCTGCTGCACATATGTGCATTACAACACCAAACACAATCATATGTCATTTCTTTTTGTTATTGCTTTATGAACTTACACAGGAATCGAGGTGCCGGACAATCTTGGAAAGCTTAGCGCCAGCAGACCTCTTTTTGGCCTTAAAGAGCTTGATGAACTGTGTCGTTAGGTAATCCAATGCTTCAACGAAATCATTGCCCAGTTTGGACCTGCAAAAAAAACCATAAAACACTTCAAGTTAAATGCATAGTTGTAAAAAATGTGTACACACCTGTCTCTCTGTATAAAGTGCTGGCCAGCGCGCTTTGACATTTTCCACAGGTGGGGCAGAATTGACAATTTCTTGTTGTCGGACTGCAACACGCTGTAAGCTAAAAAAGAATAATCAATATATATAAAACAATATCACATGATTTTTGCTCAAATGTGTTTAACGGAGGTCTAGATTCACTCAATAACATTATTAAGCAATGGACTTAATAAAAAAAACAAAAAAAAATGAACAGAAAGACAACAGTGACAAATGAGATTAAAAAGTACAGTAATAAAAGTGAAAGTCTTAGCGCTCAAACAAAGACAGGAACAGTGCAAAACAAATGATATATGTTAGATATTCCACAGAACTCTAGTCCACAGTCTCCGCGTATATCAGGCTCTGCCATGAGCTCAAACTGCTTTTCCTTCGGTTCTTTCGAAGCAGTCTGCTCTGTGCACCTCGTCCCTGCTCCTGCAGCTCCATGCTTCACAGAAAGTATTCACACACGGAGCAATCACAGCGGAGCTTCCTTGCGGCGGCGGCCCGCGTAGTTAGGGCCGGGAATATGGCTCTGAACACGGCTAAAGTTAGCTACTAACAGCTACATTCACCGCTGTCCTCAGTAAACTCCCGGAGGCCGGACAGAGCTCTCTCAGGCCTCCGGGAGAACGGCTCATTCGACTATAATGAATACACGTTCTTAACACACTTCTTTAGCTTTATACCTTTAGAAAAATGAACAACGTGTCTTAACACTTACCGTACATTCAAGAGTCCTCTCTTCACGTTCCACGAGACTCCACCGTCGACTTCAGGCAAAGTATTTCCTTGCGTTTTGCGCATGCGCGACATGCGCATTCAGTTTGTGAAGCCCCAAGTTTTGGTTGTGTAAAGAGAGTGATGATAACACCAACAGCCGTTTGTGTGTATATATATATATATATATATATATATATGGTGCTACTTTGAACCGAGAATATAACACATATTTTCAGTTGGTTCATACTTTTTCTTTTAGGTATGTACATAATTCAGTTTTGATGCCTTCAGTGTGAATCTACAATGTTCATAGTCATGAAAAAAAATAACAAATCCAAACTTTTGGTCTGTACTGTACATACATATATCCTTTGATGAGCACTTACACTTTCAACATGTCTTTTGTCCTATTGGATTTATTTAATTGATTTTGACATGACAAGCTATAATCAATCATGATCAAATATTTATCTGATGTGTGTGTGTGTGTGTGTGTGTGTGTGTGTGTGTGTGTGTGTGTGTGTGTGTGTGTGTGTGTGTGTGTGTGTGTGTGTGTAAACAGTTTGAGCATTTACAAAATCCGGGTCTACAGTGTGCTGACCTGATCCATGCTGCAGACTGACTGAAAGTAGTTGTGCAGCATGGAGCAAAGTTGTGCTCCCCCTCAACCCTGATTAGCATTTGTATAGCTCACAGCATTCCCATTTACATGTTCAGAATCAGAATCAGAATCAGAATCATTTTTATTGCCACGTGAGTAACAAAGTTATCACTTGGAAATTGTTTTGGCAGAGAGCGTGCCACTTCGCCATTTGCGGCGCTGTGTGCAGCAAGAAACAGCAGAGAGCAATAACATACAGTTCACAGACAATTGGATAGACACATTGTGATTTTTATAAACCACGGATTTTTTTCTCGGGAAGAGCACCTCTTCGGCCGGCCCAATGTAGCTGTCAGAGGGGGGCGGGATCAGGGAGGGGGTGAGTAGGAAAACAATAAGGAATGGAGGGGAGGGAGGGAGCAAGATGGATAGGTAGAGGGAGGCGGGGGTGGGGGATCCTTGCTGAAGACTGAAATAGTGTGAGTTGTTGTAGATTGTGGGACCTTGTTTATGGCCTTGGCTGAGGAATGTGAGATAAGAGTGGAGAGAAGCCACAGGAGGAGAAAAACACATCGCCTGCAATGTCGCAGTCAAAAGCAGGCAGATATTCTATTAATTCCAATTAAACCGAATTCCGGTGCCCTCAGACCTCCGTACACAGGGGCAAATCCAAGCCGGGTCAGAGAGATCAAGCCTGACAAACAATGTCATTCAATCTCAATTCCAAGGTCTTATGTCCATCAAGTGAACGAGCTGCGAGGTCTTTGATCAACTGTTCCACCAAAACCACCCTTCTTTGTCCAGACACGGCACTCTCAACCACGACACGGCTAAGCTCCTTGTACATCCCATCAATTTTATCGGCCAGCAGGTCGTGAATCTTGCGAACTGCCATGCCTCCGAATTTGTGGTAGAAGAGGATCGCTCCAAACCCAAACAGGAGGATTCCCACCACCAAAATGCCAAAGATATATAACGTCTTCCGAATCTTCAATGGACAGGGTCGACAGACAGAGGGGCTGAAACTTGTTCCAGCTGTCAAGCGTATACCCCGCTGGTGAAGTCCCGTCCGGACACACGGGCTCTCCAGACCCACGCTTACGTGTTGAAAAGATAGAATCAATTGCGTTGAGGGACCAATTAATCATTTCCATTCTGTTAGAGTTGTCTGTGGCAAAGCTCCAGGAAAAAAGACAAAAACAGGAGATAGCAAGCCGTTCAGAAGCAGGAGCGGACTAAGACACGTCTTTGCTCGACGGAGGAGGAAGGAGGAAAAGGAAGGAGGAAATGTTAAAGCCTCCTGTGGAGGAGGGAGGAGGGGACAAACAAACTACAGTCGACAGCCGAATCCCAGAAGTTTCATAGTAATATACAGGGCCGAAAAGAGACAAAAATCACACTTTTCATGCAGTGATCTACAATCGACTGAATGACAGACCTTAAATATGGAGACCAGGTGAGAGCCATGGTGCGGACCAGTGGAGACATCTGCAGCCGCCCTGTGGAGAGACAGAGACACTTATGTCCATGAGACTGAGACACTTATGTCCATGAGACAGAGACACTTATGTCCATGAGACTGAGACAGAGACACTTATGTCCATGAGACTGAGACACTTATGTCCATGAGACTGAGACAGAGACACTTATGTCCATGAGACTGAGACACTTATGTCCATGAGACTGAGACACTTAAGTCCATGAGACTCACTCTGTCCTGAAGTTCCATGGTTCTCCCATAGACCGGTCACTCCTGAGGGACTCACATCTGGGACTAGGTCCAGACCGAAGTTTGTGGAGGATCCTGAGACACAGAAGAAGAGAGCTTCAGTGTTGGAGAGGCCTTCACCACAGGCTGCGTCACGTCCACAAACACACAGATATCATCTACACCTGGTATCTACACCTGGTATGAGCTCTGTCCATGTCCTCAGGACACTGTGTCTGTGAGCTGCTGATACAAGGAGTGGGACTTACCAAGCACCAGCTCCTCTTTATTATGGTTTAAGATAAGATAAGATATACTTTATCAATCTCACACAGGAGAAATTTACATGTCACGTTTGGCATAGAAAGACACTCAAGATTGTGCAAAAAGTAAGAAATGTGCAAACAGGACATGACATAGTATGTACAAAAGTGTAAATTAGAAAGTGGTAATGAGAAGAAGTGTCAATAGTAGTGCAGGTTTTATCAGTCTTAGTGCAGCGACTTAAAGTGACTTATTGTACAGTCTGACAGCGGTGGCACTCCTTCTTACACTGAGGGTGTCTCAGTCTTCCACTGAAGGAGCTCCTCAGCAGCCCAGGGAGCAGCCCAGAGTGGAGCTGGCCCTCCTGACCAGCTTGTTCAGTTCGTTCCCCTCAGACACACAGCCCAAGATGGCGGAGCCCACAGCGTTGTTCTGTAGGAGCGAGTGACCTCGAAGAGTAACCTACCGGTCACACCAGAACACCTCCTAACCTGTATGATGAGGCATCGGCTGATACTTTAGTGTTGCTCTTTTGGTCGTACATTGCAAGCACTGGCGGTGAGGTTAGTGCATCTTTCAATGTTTTGAATACTTTGTCTTGATCTACACCCCAATACCAACTACTCTTCTTTGACAATAGATCTCTCAATGCTTTGTCTTTTTCTGCCAGATGGAGGATGAACTTTCCCACCTGGTTAACCATGCTCAGCTCAGCCTCATTTGTTGGCTCTTTCATCTCTGAAATGGACTCTGTTTTCTGCGAGTCCTGTGTCTGCGATGACATGACCTAGGAAAGCCACTTTGGTCTGTGAGAGATCACATTTCTCCACATTCAGGGTTATACCTTCTTTTTAAAGTCTACGCAGGGTGGCATGGAGTCGGGTGTTGGGCTCTCCTTGATTGCGACCCCATACCAGCACATTATCTATGTGGCAGACCACCCCTTCAAGTCCTTCAATGATCGTTGGAAAATGCTCTGGCACAGAGTTGATCCCAAAAGGAAGACGGTTGAAGTGGAACCATCCATAGAGTCTTATGAATGTGGTCAAGTTGGCGGGCTCCTCCGACAAGGGAATTTGCCAGAAGCCCATCCTAGCGTTTAGTTTACTGAGCACTTTAGCTCCCGCAAGCATCCCAAGGCTTTGTTCGACAGAAGGTAACACAAACTTTTTTCTGCACACAAACTCATTTAGTCCTGTAAAGTCCACGCACAGTCTCAGCCTAGTACTGTTCTTCTTTGGAACTACGACCATGCCGGCGCACCAGTCCGTAGGTTACTCTACTCAAGCTATGGCTCCAAGCTCTTCCATTCTGCAGAGTTCCTCCTTTACTTTTCCCATTAAAGGTATCGGAATCCTTCTGGGGGTTTTGAGCGAGTATGGGACGTTTGGTTTGATTTTAATGTGGTATGGCTGCTGCACTTCACCCAGTTCAATGCACAGATTAGGGTACGTTGTTTTTAGAGTGTCCATTGAAACAGTATTAACGCGCACCAGAAGGCCAAGAGCTGAAATGGCGGTAGGCCTAAAAGTGGAGTGCTAAGATTTTTAACAACATAGACCTTCTCTGTTGTCACCTTTGTGCCGTACCTGAGCTGCAGTTTTGTGAATCATGCAACTTCCAAAGAATGGTTTCTCTGGCCACTGTTGAATGGGCTTTGCTGTCAAAAACACGTATTGCAGTCACAACTGCTCCTGTGTCGAGTTTGAAAGTCAATTTTGTTTCTTTCACCTGAAGCTCTACTGTCCACACCTGGTTGTCGATGGAAACTGAGCCAAAGACGAACCTTTGCCCCTCTTCGTCTTCAATGCTTGGCACTGTCTTACCTTGTCTGCAGACACGCTGGTAATGGCCTTTCTTTCCACAAGAATGATATGTTGCATTGTTGGCAGGACACTTCTTTGCATTAGATGTGTTTTGGCTGCTAAACTACTGCTGTGCTTTCACCGTTTTATATTTGGGAATACATTTCGCTTTTTTGTACTGATTTTTGCTTTTGATGACTCCACAGAGCTCACACTCATTTGCATCACATTACTTTCACTTCTTAGAGCAGTTTGTTGCTTTTTGATCTCTTCTGTTGTCTTGCCATATTTACAGCTTTTTCCAAGTCCAAGTTCTTTTCCATTTGCATGCTCTCTGACAACCTTGTATCGGCCAAGCCCACTACTATTCTGTCTCTTATGAGCTCATCATGGAGTGTACCATAGTTGCAAATGCATCTACAGTCTAATGAATCGTGCACGCTCGTACAGAAAATGTTTTTTCAAGATGAAAAAGTTATGGAAGCCATCTCTCACTTTGCTGTACTCCAGCTGCTCTGCTTCAGTTAGCTTTAAACCTTTCAGGACGTCATCTGCTTCGTCTCCCATGCAGTATATTAATGTGTTCCATTGTCTGTTTCATGGTACGATGACGGGACCTCTGAGCCTGGCCTCCTCCATCTACACCTGCGGACTGGCCTGCCTGACCCGCCTGGGAGTGCTTCAGTTCTGCACCGGACCTGTCCACGTTCAGCGGCCACTGGTCCACATTCCGTAGCTAGCTTAGGTCCTGGATCATTAGCCTGTCCGTCCGGAGGAGCGGATCCCTTTCTCAAATGGGTCTCCCTCCCTGTGGGTTTCCCTAGGTCTCCCCAAGGTTTCTCACTTTTTCCCACTGGGTTTTTTAAGAGTTTTTCCTTGTCGATGCAGGAGGGTCTTGTTGGACAGTTAGTGTCCAACAGAAAGGATTGGTGATGATCAGGACACTTTAGCATTCTACAACATGTATGGACATTTTCTTCTGTGTGTGCTTTATATTCTTCATGTGTTTTAACTGTTGATTCTCTGACCTGTGTTGGTGATTTCAATGGTTTTGTTAAGTCTCTGAGATTACTTCTGTTGTGACCTAGGGCTATACAAGAATAAATTGTATAGCCCTAGGTCACAATTTGTGTTGACTAAATTTTCCTCCAAACTTGTTGACAGATTACTTGCCTGGCAAAATCATTCAAAGCGACGTTTCCACTTTGTCCATTCGTGTGGTTTTGAAAAATCAAAGGGCTGTCCTCGCTTGTTGGTCTTCCCCCTTGTTTGACATTTCTGCGCAACTCAATCCCTTTTTCCACTTGATAGACCCTTATTGCCTTTCTTAAAAGCCACACAGCACTTCTGACACCATGTCAAGGCAAGGCAAGTTTATTTGTATAGCACAATTCATACACAAGGCAACTTAAAGTGCTGAAAAAAACAAGAAAGCATTAAAATCATAAACATCATCATAAAAAGAAAGATAAAAATATAAAATCCCTCAGTTGTATGCTCTTTTCAACCTCCTTTTAAACATTGTCAGAGAGGAGGCCTGTCTCACATCTTCAGGAAGATTGTTCCAGATTTTAGCAGCATGAATCTGAAAAGCAGCCTCCCCATGTTTAGTTCTGACTCTGGGTACTAACAGGAGTCCAGTCCCTGTGCTCCTCAGAGTCCGGGCTGGTTCATATGGGACTAACATGTCACTAATATATTTTGGTGCGAGGCCATGGAGAGACTTGTACACAAGCAGAGCTGTTTTAAAGTCTATTCTCTGAGCCACAGGAAGCCAGTGCAGAGACCTGAGGACTGGACTAATGTGGTCGTACTTCCTGGTTCTAGTCAGGACTAATGTGGTCGTACTTCCTGGTTCTAGTCAGGACTCGAGCTGCTGCATTTTGAATGTACTGCAGCTGTTTTACAGCCTGTTTGGACAGACCTGTGAGCAGGCCATTGCAGTAGTCTAACCTACTGGAGACAAATGCATGGATAAGAATCTCTAAGTCTGCTTTAGACACTATGTTTTGATCCTGGCAATGTTTTTTACGTGGTAAAAAGCTGCTGATGTTACTGATTTGATGTGGCTATTAAAATTTAAGTCTGAGTCCAGTATCACCCCTAGATTTCTGACCTTGTTTGAAGGTTTTAGGGAGAGAGACTGTAGATGACAGATGACGCTCTCTCTTTGTTTCTGGGGACCAAAGACAATCATTTCAGTTTTGTCTGCGTTTAGCTGAAGGAAGTTGTTTTGCATCCACTCACTGATCTGTTGGATACAGTGAAGGAGTGAGTCCACTGGTCCATGTTCTCCTGCAGTCAGTGAGACATAGATCTGAGTGTCGTCTGCATAGTTGTGATAGGACACTTCGTTTCTGCGTATTAACTGACCTAACGGCAGCACGTAGAGATTGAACAGAAGAAGTCCCAGGATCGACCCCTGTGGTACTCCACAGGTCAGGGCCATATGTGATGCGATCTGGGAAAATCCATCACATGGTGAAATTTGACCAACTTAAGATTCTGACACCATCTTAAAGCTGCTTTCAATTTATTTTGAAATCTGTTTTCCTTTTTTTCATAGCATGTCTGTAACAAAAGTTATCATTATCTGAAGTCAGTAAGTAAGTAGTAAGTAAGTATTTATTTATATACCGCCTTTTCACTGCAGATCTGAGTCTCAAAGCGGTTTACAATTGTTAATTTTGGGCATTTGTCTCTCACTCCACACAGAGATGGGAGCGGGGCCAGTACAGGAGGCGCATGCCAGACCTATTGGACATGTTTTTAGTGGTAGGGGAAACCGGAGTACCCGGAGGAAACCTACGCAGACACGGGGAGAACATGCAAACTCCACTCAGAAAGGCCCTGGTCCGACCGGGATTCGAACCCAGGACCTTCTTGCTGAGAGGCGAGAGTGCTATCCACTCAGCCACCGTGCCGCCCAGTCACGGTGTTCAGCGTATTCACATGGTCTTATGAAACAGAATTCTGAGAAAAACAGGTTTAAAGTTAGACATTCTAAATAGAATCACCACAGTCAAA